TCACCCAGGTTAAGAACCCCTACTTTATAAGATTACACTTGAAGAAAGAGTGTATCTCATCCTTTAAGTTTTGAGTTTGCAGAAGTATCTCTCGGTCAGTTCATGTTTTGTTTTAGAGGTTGCAACAGAAAGCTTGATAATTACATTTTAAGAAAATAGTAAGAGCCCTAGAGTGTATGGCAGTGCCATTTTAGAATGTATCTCTATTTAATAGATAGTGTGTTCTATGGATAATCTCTTTTTCAAAACTGAGGATGGATAAAACCAAAAACTGAGAATATAGATGAAGAGAGATAACAAACTCCCCTAAATCGCAAAGCTAGCATTCAAGCGGAAAATGCTCAAACCCAAAAACTGTTTGACTCTAAAGTCCACGTTGACTGCACTGTTAGAAGTAGTGCACAACAGTGTTCAACACCACAGGGTTCAGAGTAGGAGTCCCAAACTGTACAATAAACTGAAAATTATGAGGTGAGCATCTCTGCATTGTGATAGAACACATCATAAAACTAAATCTGCAGTATAATTTTAGTGAACAAGTATTTTTACTAACACTGGTGGGATAAACCTTTTTTAAAGCAAAAACATTGAAGTTATGCTTCCATCCCACCAAAAATGGGGACCCTTTGTTTATCACAGTAGCAGATGGAAGAAAAATTAATGGGTTTAAGTTTCTGCACATGGAATTTATGTTATGTAAGGAAGTATTTCTTCACAAGTTAGCCTAATTAATAATTATTGCAAAATCCAAAGAGAGAATTTCAAATCTTCTCTAAGGAGCTCTCAACAAGTTGCTTAAGGCAGAGAATTGGCTTATAGACTTCAACAGGCCTATTCAGCCCTTTGATCCCCGGAATAGAAAACGTTTTAAGAATGTAGTTAGGCTGTAAAAGCTATGCATTATATATATTCTCATCTTTACTCCTAACTTTTTCCTCCAACAGCCTCCCCCTGCCCCAAAAAGGTTGGTTCCAGAATGACATATCTTTGGTTATGTATTCGTTTGTGTGTTTGGACTTGGTTTGGAGTAATGAGGACCGAGTGTGGGGTAAGAGATGACAGTGCAGAAATAGAAGTCAAGATCTTTTATTCTTATCATAGTTTTCTTATTTCCATAAAAAAGGATGTTGGGCTGGTTATTTGCAAATCCTCTTTCTATAAAAATCAAAATTCAGATGGAAAATGCTCAAAATGAAGGAGATTGAAGGGACGAAATCACTGGAAAAAATATAGTAGATATATAAAACAAATTACTCTTCCCAAAATGCTCACTTTTCTCCTTTTTCTTTCCTCTTGCCCAGTGCATCCCATGTTGTGCTCACTTTTACTCCAATTTATTAAATTAATGAATATGGTTTGAATAATAAAATACATGACCCTCAAAGGTATTCATTATCTCACTATAGTCTCAAGCTTTTTTTAAAGTGTTGTGAATTTAGAATTTGATTCTCTCTAAAGAGGGTGTAAGAATAAGATGCATATCTTTATAGTTTGGTCAGGATGCTCAACAATGAAGGAGTAAGGTGCACAAAAACTTAGAAAAATCAGAGTGTACAATCATAGAGTATGTGTTACACGAGCAAATATTTTTTAAAAAGTCTGAAGAGATGTAGAGTAATAGATTTGACCTTTTTTCTTCAACACAGACTGAGTCTTACATCACTAGATAGAAGAATGATAAAACCTTCTGTCTTAAAATATTTGTTCAAATTTTGTTCAAGTTCCCTAAATGTTTGAACTATGGGGTTATAGAATACCGATCTACTTAAGGAGTTCTGTTCTACAGCCTCCCTTTTTTATACACCATCAGCTTTTGGGAAACATACAGAAACTTGAATACTGTGGTCTTTCTTGTTATAAAGTCAATGGATCATATAGTTCTTTCTGTATTTTCCTTGGCCATAAAACACTGGGATTGTCTTTCAAATACAGTTAATTCTATTTCTGCTCCTACAAATCTAAGAAAAACATAAACTGTTTCCTGGATAAAATACCATAAGCAGGGCCAGGGATATATCCCAGTGGCACAACACCTACCTGGCAAGTGCAAAGTCCTGAGTTAGATTCCTGGTACAAAAAAAGTAACAAGCATTTGCTATAAATATCAGAATAAAGAAGATATAAAAAATCAGTACAGAACAATACTTTTAAAAAGTGGACCAAATGCTTAAGTAATTATTTAACTGTGTAGAGTGGAGGTAACTCATGAGTTTGTCTTTCCTACTTCTTGCCCCTTCCTTGTATCTTCCCCAACCTTTCTTTATTCTCTTCCATTTATCCTCTTTAGTATACTTATTTTTGCTATTTTTTGCAGACATCAACCCTACTATTGAAAATAAGTTACATATCAGCTCTCTGCATCTGAGTATAAATTTAGGTCAATACTTTCTCTGTGCACTCAGGTATTTGAATTGTAAACCTGAGAGTGTAGGGAAATTCCTTCCTAGTGGAACATCAGCAAGACTATTCAACATCTTTGAGATATCAGCAACTATAGCCCACTTGGCCTAAAACTTGAGTCAAACTTTCTAATGTGCACATATTAATAATTATTTCTTGCCATGTAGTTAAACTGACTCAAATGAATCAAATAGAAGTGTGGATATTGACCCTAAAATTCTGGTAATGTTTGGACCACAAAATTCATTTGAACAGTTAGAACCACTTTTTCTTACTCTGTTTTTTCCTTTTAACTAATTGGTCTATAGTCCACCTCACTTGCTAGATTGGAGCTTTTCCAGGTTAAGGAACACATCTTACTCAGCTCTCTGTCTCCTGGCCCAGCACAATGTCTGGCTCATCGGAAACCCTTCTAGGTAAATAATTGGATTCCTGCAGTTTAAATCTGCAAGAGCTTATGTCTCCTTAGAATAGCATCTCCGGTTCTCCTCCACCAAAGATTTTTTCTCTGATTTCAGAGAACACCTGCAATTAAGAAAAAGTCTAAACTAGCTCATCAGGACCCACCTTTCTATCAATCTAAGAAATTGTTAGGGCATTTCAGAGTCTATAATGTGTTACCTTTGGGAATCAGAGATTTGGTAATTTTCTCTGGATCTATATAGTATATAAAATCTGGGGAACATTCTACCTTTCATCATTCTAGAATGGAAAGGCTCTCATAGGATTAAAGGAAAACAACAATACCAACAATCTACTTTTATTTCAGCAGTGCCTGATGCCGGGTATTTACTAGAGCAAACACCACGCAAGGCCCAGAGGATTAGCTGAAGCAGCTGATACGCTATGCTGCTTTTTATAAGTCTTCTCAGCATGATGCTCTGCATATGTCCCATTTCATCAGGTCATATCAACTTTGGTCTTGTCCAACACTGCATCTTACAGCAACCAAATGCTTCCTCACACAGACTGTTCCTTAACTGGGAAGTGGACACTGAAACAAGTTTCCTGGCTCTTTGTGCAAACAGTGCCTTTGATACATTTTACAAATGACCTGTCTTTTTTATTCTGTAAGACATTGGAGCTTTCAGCCATCAGTGGACCTATGAATTTACTAGGTATAATAATAAAATATGCAATAGAGAATTAAATAGAGAGTTGTTAAGTGATGTTGTGATGGTGGTGAGTACGCAAACTTGTGAAAATTATCTGCAAGAACACTAGTCCACTTTTTGGCTGGATAGCAATATTGGAGAGCAAGGGGTGTAGTCTATAAAAGATGTCTTAAGTGGCTGTAGTTATTCAGTGTACTGTGTATCTCTCATATGAAGTACACTCTCCTAGCCCTTTGGAAAATGTTACAAAATGGCCAAATCCAAGTTTTCTGGTCTCAGGAATCTTTCTGTTTAAAATGAATATTTATTTTAAAAAACAACCTTTATTTTACTAAGTGAATGTGTGCTCTATGTCAGACACTGCAAAAGTTTTTATATACTTGACGTAAAGACCCATCATCTATCTTTGTAATTAAAGTTTAACTGAAACAAGCCATACTCAATTAATGTATTGTCTTTGGCTCCTTTTAATCTAAATGATGGAGGTCAGTAGTTGTGATCAAGGCAATCTAAGCCTGCAAAATTTCAAATACTTACAGTCTAACCCTTTAAAGAAAATGTTTGTTGACTGCCACATAGTTCATTCTCACAAGAATATTTAGAGATATTTGTCTAAGCAACTTTGTCAATGTGCTAAAATCTAATGAACCTTACATTTTAAGTGTGTGAACTGTGTGATATGCAAACTTTAGTTCAGTAAGCTGTTTTTTTAAAAGAATATTTAGGGTTAAATATTTTCTGTTTTAAAACTATGGTAACTGAATGTTATAGGTCACATAGCTTAGTAAGTGTCAGAGCTTGGGTTTAATTCGAAAAATCCATGTTCTTATGCTATCCTCCTGCACAGTAATGAAAAATAAAGAGTCACAAAGAAACAGCTATTAGACTTATGAAAATGAGGATATCATTTTGAGCCTGAGTTGATAACGATTCTGGAGATAATATGTGAGTGTAAAATAAAAAATGAATCTCAGAAATTTTCTGTCCTAAGTCCATACCCAAGAAAAACTAAGAGATCATATGCATAGTTGGAAGCAGAAATGAGACCCAAATACTTACTCACCCATGTATACTGTTGACCATGTCAAGACTGATTTTGTGTGTGTGTAGTTAAGTGACTGAATTATTGAAATGTGAGTTCATACATTATGAACTCTCATGTATTATGCTTCTCATAGATTTAAATAAAGGACCTAGAATTCTTTTATTGAAGCAATCAAAAATACATTTATTCTGGTATTTGCAATACCATCACCACCCACAAATCTACAAAATACGTCTTTGTTGTACAGAATCACATATGCTCTTACATGTGACACTTACAAGCCCATAGGAACTTCTGGTACTCTACCAACTTTAATATTCAACTGATACACAAAAGGCCAAAAATTCAAATATTCATGTACAGCCTGCCCTGGAGAATCAGGCAGCTCTTGGCCAGAAGTGAAATGGAGAAATGAACAGGCATAGTCTATCGATGCTTACCTGATACTGTAGAGCACTTTGCCATTTTTTGAAATTCGCAGCAACTTATTGTCAGTGGTGACGTCATGGAAGTTGGCACCCTTCTCATTGGCAAAGAACAAATCTGGTTTCCAAATGGAGTCTAGCATAGATGGGTCCAAGTCCAGGGAATCATCTGGATACTCACTGTAGGCCAGCCGTGAATCATTCCACTGTTGTCTCAGAAAAATATTCACTCGGTAATCCTACAGAAATGTCATGCACAAGAGCTATTTATTGCCCACCCTAACAGAAGAAGACGGTTCAGATTTCCCCCTCATCCTTCTCTCTGGTTTGATATAGTGTTGGCAGCTGAGTAAACTAGGCTATGTAGGCCTTTTTCAAAAATAAATATATGGAGTTAGGTCTAGTTCTGTTAGGATTGGGGGTGGAGAGGGAGAGAGGGAAAAAAAGATTCAGTCAAGCTAGAACACCAATAGAGCAGCTTCACTCAGTTGGACTTTTATTCTTATATTAGTTCTGGGATGAAATATTACTTATGCAAGCTGATTTTCTCATAGAAAAAGGTAATGATGAGTGCAGAAGTGAGTTAGTGACAGCATATTGCCAAATAAAACTGATTAATTTTCCATATCAGAAATGACGTGATTTCTAGTCTTTTTCTGCTCAGGTCATCTGAGCAGAAAAAATTTCATCTTGCAATTTGATAGTGAAAATCTTATAAAACTATGACATGATGCGCCAATACTTTTAAAAGTCTTCAACATAAACAACATGCTTCACATTGACTACATAATTCCTTTACAACTACTTTCTTTCAAAATTTTTAACCATTATATAATTTTTTCAGAATATATTGTACCTCTAGTAGTCATCTTGATGATTCACAGAGGGATCTTTTTGTATATTCTCCATGTGGTCACCTTTGGACAAAGTATTCTCGCTTGTGGGAGCCTCAGTTACATCCCTGGCATTCTAACTTTATCTGGGAATCTCCTTTGGTGCTAATGAATCAGGTTGGGTCACTGCTCTCCTGGAAACTTCCATTCAGAGGTCCTTAGGTTCTTGGAAAGCATTCCTTCACTTGACAATCTGATCTAGACTTCATCACTAATCTGTAGTCAAACAGGAATATGGTTTCCAAGCTAATGGTTATCTGCCCTTACCACTTGTGTTTATATAGGGTGATTCATTCTTTCTGTTATAGTTTGGATCTAGAATGTCCCACAAAAAAGCAATGCATAATATAGGCCTAGCGAGATTAACAATGGTCCACTTAGTACTCAAAATCCAGGTTATTTGGAAAGGCTGAGTTTGTTAAAAGGAAAAAAAAAACCTTGAAGTTCTCTATTGTATAAGGACATTCTGACTTAGAAACTATTTTAGCAGCAGGCATTTATTTGCGTTGTTACCACGCCTGCATACTAAATCTTCAAACCCAACCTGTCTGCTCATCGACTCGCACAGTGAGTAGCCAAGAGAACCGGCACAACCTGAGTTCCCTCAACACATACCAATAATTGTCCCAAGAGACAAGAGGCAGGAGACTAGATAGGCATTATTACCGGTTCGATGTCTTGGTAAAAAGAGTTATTAGAAGCTTTGGAGTTTTGTGTAAGTAGTGTGCGAAAATATGTGATTTGTGAAAATTAAGTACGGAGTTATTAAAATATAATACCAAGATTATGTAAGTATGCATTAGATTCATTTGTTGACAGATTTTCTTAAAGTTTCCTAAGGGAGAAAATGCAGCTTATCCAGTTTCTGATACCCATTCCTTTTTATTTTCCTAGAATGAAAACTACTCCTTTAGAAAATTGTTTGAGAGGAGTTTGTAAGCTTTTTTCAATAGACAATAGAAGATGATCCCTTTCATTGGCCAAATTTGGAGGGAATCTAAGAAATGACAGCTGGAAATGGCAAATGAACTGAGTATTTTAGCCTTCTGGGAGGTCCAAAGTCTAACCTCTATCCATCAGGAAGTAATCCCAGAGTGAAAGGGGCACTAAGAAGCCAGATAACACCAGGCAGTAAAATCACAAAGAAAATATCCTCATAACTTTCCCTTAAGCCTCAGGACATGATTTAAAGATGCATATTGAGAGACATTAGAGAATATTAATGACATACAATATGAAAACAATGACCTTTAATAAAAAACACGTCAACATAGATTTTCACAGCTAATATACATCTTTTTAAAAAGTATTTCCTATGAGTGTTCTCCAGATTTTCTATTTTGAATTTTATATGTGGAAAATGATGGACTAGCTCCTCTTGTATTGCGACTTTAAAAAGAGCAATAGGTCCATTATGTCACACTAGAATTATTAAGTCCCTAAAGGTTAATTTAAAATAGTCTCATTATTTGTAATCAAGGATAAGTGTGAGATTTAGAGAAGAAAATATATTTTATGCCACAATTACAGCAACTACATAAAATAACACCCTTTTCAGAGCTTTCAATTATAAATATGTATTTTTTAGTATGTAGTAACTAAGATTCACCCATAATTTTCTTTATGATGATATACAGTGTTCTAAAATAATCAAAAATCCTTAAAAAAACAGTTAAGAATAAGAAAGAACATCTTGGGATATGCGGAAAGAGATATTTTAAGAAATAATTTTCTGGAGCTATATCTGTGTAATTATTCCAATTCCCTGTCATTTTCAGCGCAGAGTAAAAATGTTACACATCTAATTTATCTAGGCACTGCATCTGTTTATTTACAAATTGGTTTATTTTTTCATGATATTCAAACCACTAGAGAATAATCAGATTGTCCTGTCATCTTTCTTTGTCTTTACTTTTGCTTCTAGGTTTAATGAAATATTAAAGGGGAAGTAAATATTGAGAAACATGCTTAAGTGCAGACTGAGTTTTCCTTCACAATGCCTTCTATCTCCAGGGACAGATTATATGTCAACTAAATGACATATTTCCTTGTACTAAAATTTGTTTGCCTATCATTGATCTGGGTATTGGATTAAGTAATAAAATTTCTCTCTCTCTCTCTCTCTCTCTCTCTCTCTCTCTCTCTCTCTCCTCAGATAGACAGATAGATAGATATACAGATGATACAGATATAGATTTAAATATGTGTATCATATATTTACATGTTATAAAGATATCAAAGACAATGCTATGTTTTCTTGATTGTTTACAGTGGCTATGTAGTACTTTAGTTTTATTGCTGACTACTCTCTTGTAAAACTTTTGTAATGCTGAAACTAGTTTTAATATAAAATGAGCTTAAAATTATGGGGTTAGTTCCTTTATGATGAATTCAGACTTTAATATTACATTGGTAGTTTCAAGGCAAAGACCATTTTATATATCTGTTTAGCAAATGTCAGCTTTGTGGCAGTTTCTTAGTTATTCACTAAGAAGTCAACAATAAGAAACACAGAGATGTACCATGTCTAAACAGCATCTTTTTATGGCTTGTTTCTGTTGCTACAGGGTGAAAGGGAATTTTCAGTGCTGTTTCAGTGCGTAGCATGCACTCAAATAAAGGGTTGCCTACTTTTTAAAATCTGTGTTTCTCAGGAATATGATTTCAGATCCAAAGTAAAGTAGGTCTTCACTTTTCAGATGTAACAAGCAGATAATTGAAATTTACCTAGAGGGGCAGATTTTAGAGTATCCAAAAGTATATTCTGGAAATGTTCGCTGAGTGGACACATTTATGTACTCTGAGCTCTCCTTCCTATCCGTTAAATGAGCAATGGGTCAGGATGTACTGCTATGACATGAGTAATATTCCAATGTCCATGAGTCCAAATCACACAGTTTCTGCTCTCATCCCTCCAAAGTCATTTGTAAACTGAAATGGCATTTCATTTCTGTTTTCTGATGACCTAGGCTAGAGAAAAGCTTCATATATCCTTGATTTTTACCAACATTACTAATATTCTCAAACTGTACCTTTATATTAGGAAAGAGAGGATTTCAACTGTATACTATATCCTGTACATTTTTTTGCTATGAGCACTAAAGTGAGGAGGGGGGAGAGAGAGAGAGAGAGAGAGAGAGAGAGAGAGAGAGACAGAGAGAGAGACAGAGAGAGAGACAGAGAGAGACAGAGACAGAGAGAGAGAGGGAGACAGAGACAGAGAGACAGAGACACACACACACAAAGAGAGAGAGAGAGAGAGAGAGAGAGAGAGAGAGAGAGAGAGAGAGAGAGAAAATGGTGAACTAACATTCCAAAAACAGAATATAAACTTGTCTCATACATCCCTTGCTAGTCTTTAAGTTTTAGGCACCATACAAAATCCATTCCACTGAATACACTTAATACAGGGTCAATTAACAATGACCACCCAACATATCTCAGCCTCTTTAACAAAAATGTATAATTTTGAATAAGGATATCATCACGCTGATCCTTAAAAGTGTTTCTTAGAGTAATGGAAACATGTTATCCTGTTCTGACAAATATCAGATAAGTGAGATTTTGTATTGGATCTGTAAGACAATACTTTGTTGTCAGTCAGTATCAACAATAAATTAGTGAACTTTCATTAACCATAAGAAGGACAGATTGCATAGCACTTAAAGAAAGTCACATTGAGCACTTGAAGCAGATAGCCATTGCCTCTTCTTTAGAAACTGACACTCAAAAAACTGAATCTTTCAGTAATGCTATCTGGGTCATGGGGTGAGGGTGAGGTATAAAGGGAAAAAGGAAAATCAACATGTTTAGAAACTCAAAATCATAAATTATTCTTGCAGAAATTAATTCCAGAATATGTGGAGAAAGCAAAACTTTTATCTCCAGAAAATAGCACTAATCAATGCCCTCAATGACTTCATCACTGTACATAAAAGCTGAAGTTTCTTACTCCAGCTAAAAGTGATTGAGGGAAGAATTTAATCCTGTTTTGTTTTTCGACAAAACTTTCTGAGTCAAATTTTGTAAAAATATCAGTAAATTGTGGGTGGATAAATTATAGAGATTTGGTAGTGGACACTGGGTCTATGGGTTTGGTAACGGACACTGGGACTCACTGGCTCTGTGAGTGTGCAATGGACTGCAGTGTTTGCATGCTTCCCAATCTCACCATTGACGTTAGCTCTAATGTGATAGTATTAGGAGGCTGGGCTTCTGGGACGTAACTGAATCATGAGGTAGAGGCCTAATCAATGGGATATATGCCTTTATAAAAGGGACTCCAGAAAAGTTTCTTTCCGCATTGTGAGGATATAAGGAGAAATGAGTAGTTTGTAACCGTAATAGATCCATTGCCAGAATCTGATTTTACTGCCATCCTCAGAATTCAGCTTTCAAAACAGTGTTAAATAAAATAAATTTCTGTTGTTTGTGATCCACTCAGCCTATGCTATTTTGTTATAGAAGTCTGACCTGATTAACACAGGGTGCAAAGGGAAATTCTCAGGTAGGATCTCAGTTATCCTGGAAGATAAGCTCTTCCTTAGTGGTCAAGTGTCATGTTCTTAAGTGCATTTGAATAATGTTCATTCAGATATCAATGTGTAAGATCTGGGGTTGACAACTTTAGACCTGTCCTATTTTGGTAAATAAGATTTTATTGGAGTACAGCCAAAACCATTTTCTCACTACTGTTTATTGCTATTTTCATGACCAAAGGGCAGAATTGAGTAGTTGTGACAGCAACAGTCTGGCCCTCCTGGTCCTAAGCATTTACTGTGTGGCCTTTTACAGGAAAGTTTGCCAATCCATACCATAGGTGGTATGAGAATTTCTTCTTTGACATCAGCATGACAGGGTTTCCAAAATATGTTTGTAGTTTCACATCAAAGGCATAACTGACAAAAATAAGGTATATTTTTTCAAAGCCAAAAAAGCTTGTCATTACATCAAAAGCTAGGAAGTGAAACAGAAAATCATGATACACAGCACTTTTTAAACCATGCAATACGGTGTTTTACACAGTAGAATAGGTAGGCTGTTGATGTTACCTTTCAGTAATAGTTTCCAAACTTTTGTTAGGAAATATGACAAAGGAGACACTTAATAAGTGACCAAGAAGCACCTAAAGCAGCCCCTGTACTAAACACTTGGAGTTATTCTTAAAGACAGAGAAAAACAGGATATCCATGGCTTTTCTTTCCATTTCCTTAAGTATTTAGTTGATTCTTGCATTAATGCAGATAAAAAAGTACATACTTATTTTTTTTCATATTTATATTTTTGATTGAAGGAAGATGCAATGAAGAGATTTAATCAAAGCAAATTAGGAGTCCAATTAATGCAGTCAGCATTAGGTCGTGCAAATATTGTCATTGAATGCCATCGTGCAAAGTTGGTGACAGTGATTTGGGCTACTGGAAGCTTTGTCCGTCTTTTACAATAATAAAACCAAGAGAGAAGACACAGAAACTGAATGCCAAGTCCAGAGGTGGATTATTCTTCCTTGCTTAACATTTCTTATGAGTCATTTAAGAACCCTGTCAAAACTGCCTTTTTGAGGAAAATTCTCAATGCAGTATATTCTGTCAAAGTTTCAGAAGCCTCTTTTCCAGACAGTGCTGTTTCATGGTAATATTGAATTGGGTAGTGGAGATGCATTTTTTCAATGAAAATGAGCAGTAAAAGGTAAACTAATTCTTCTAGCTTTAAGAATATCAAAAGTACAATAATTTATTAAACATGATTTTAGTAGCCTAACAGAAAATTCGTATTAACAGGAAACCATGTTTTTCAGTTCTCAATGGTATTATTTTCATTATTTTATGTTTTGAGTTTATAAAACATCAGCCACCACAATAATCGGTCGAGCTCAATATTTTATTTGGTCTCATCTAATAATATTTCTGTATAATTTATGTAACGGTGCAAATTAGAACCAACCGTTTAAGGATTTAAAATAAATCATGGATACCAGGAAAACATTTTAGCCAAATGCAATCTCCATACTCTAGTACTGTGTGGAATGAATCTAATGGACATGTCACCAGAAATGCAACCATAATATTTATAAGGAGTTTTGGTGTATTGTTTTTTCTTTTTTCTTTTTTTTTTCTTTTTGGCTGTCCTAGGAATTGAATCTAGGACTTACACATGCTAGGCTAGCACTTTACCACTGAGCTATAGTCCCTGAGGATTTGAAATCTTTTTCAAATTTATGACAGATGTCCAAACATACCCTGTGATGAGCTTTCATTCAGTTTTATTGTTTATATTTTATTGAAAAATCATGCATGCAACGTAATTGCTAGGAAACTTCTATTACCAAAAAAAGCGTGTGTGTGTGTGTGTGTGTGTGTGCACATAATTTTGCATGCTTGTGTGTGTTCTCATACATTCAGTCACTTGACTTGTATATAAGAGACTGGCAATAACATCTCTTGAGTTTTGAAATTTATATTTATGAAATATTGAAGATGTGTGTATTTACTTGATTATATACCATGCTTTTTGATGATAATTCTACCAATAACTAAGCATACATCAAATATCTTCAAAATTTCTCTGGTATGATAGATTAAAGATCATTGCATTTTAAGTAATGATTACTGGATAAATAACTTTCCAAAATGAAGGAGTGTGAATTATTGCACTTTAGGGGTGAGAAAATTGGACATTGGCACTCAATTGGTGTCACATAAATAGACAACAGTGTTTTTGGTCCCATATCCCATTCCTTCACACGATGGCTTCAATGCTCAGCCCCACTCACCATTGTAGTTTCTGCTATTGACCCAAAGCTGTTGATAAATATGTTGCAGGTAACATTTACAGGAGGCCCTGCAAGTTGAACAATAGAAAATTTGACAGGTTGTGTTCATGGCATAATTGAGTCATGTTTTTCTCTTGCCAAGGGCATTGTAGCACTTACCATGGTAGTCTCTGTGACTGATCCAAAACTGTTGATAAAAATATTGCAAGTAACGTTTACTGGAGGACCTGCAGAATGCAATAAGAATATTGCAATAGACATTGAAGCAAAAAATACAGCTCCATCAACATCAGCACAAATAGCTAGAGATGTAAATAAAATGGTGGTGAGATTGCAAAAATGGTTTTACGCAGAGGTGTGTAACAATAACTACTGCACTAGCATTTAGAGTAATGACATATAAGCAATAGTAACTTACCTGAAAAATTTTGAAGTTGGAAGACACAAGCCAAGATGATTTAATTAAATTCATTAGTATACTTTGCTATTATCATAACCCTTTGGTTAGATGGCTTTCTCTGACCTTAGGATCAACACTGCAAGCATCAACAGTGAGTGATTAAATGCCTGGTTCGTGAGGTCAAATTGGAACCTCATTTTGGATTATGGATTGGTCAGAATCATCCATCTCCTTTGGTTTGCCAACCTTTAAATCAGTGTATTGCTTTGATTTTGTTGACACCTCTGAATTTACCCTTTTTCTCTGTAAATTGTGACCCCAATGAAAAATGACAAAAAATATAAAACAAAGAAAATTAACTTATTTTAAGACATAAACACAAATAACAATGTCACTTAATGTCCAGACTGTTTTCTGAGTAAATGTGGTAGAAAGCAAGGATTATTACATTTTAGATATGCTCTGAACAGAGTCTACTTCTCTTTCTAAAGACCCAGGGACTATGCTGACTCTGGCTTGCTTTACCTCTCCTGTTTCATCAACAGGTGAATCACAGGTGAATCTCTCCTGCATGGGAAATGTTTATTGCCTGTATGGAGTTTTCTCCTAATGCTTTATGTGATAAGAAAATACTGCCATAAACCATCTATTTACTCACTGTTTTCCCTATGGAAATTTGTCTCCATTCAACAGAAACGGAGCAGACCAGTGTAGGCAACACTCTAGTTGACTCTGTACCCAACCAGCTGGTAGTATCTGAATGAAGAGGAGTTTGACTTAAGGCCTCCCTCAAAGGCTGGTAGTAAAAATACAAGTTGTGACCATAAAACATTTTTAAACTGTTTAAATCCAAGTTGGGTTCTTGAAATGAGGAAAGAAAACTTGACATAAAATACTATATAGGTATCCAGGCAAGATTCTCTGGTAAACAAAGGAGTAAGGTATTGTAGTAAAAGACATGTAAGTTGTTTTTCTTTATATACAGTTTCCTTTTTTTAATTTAAAAATTGGTTTTTTAAACATTTGCAGGGATAGAACCAGAGGCTTCCAAGTCTTTTATTTTAGCATCTGCCAGAATTTCTTCTCCAAGGTCACTTCCTATCTGTTTGGTTTTGTTTTTGTCTTTTGGTTACTCAAAAGAAAAAAGAAAAAGAAAATTAGCCTATTTATTGGCCATATAATTTATTCTAGTAAAACAACGGTTTTGTTCTAATAAATAAATTAGACAAAGTAGAGACAAGTCAAGAGGAACTGTATATATTTGCTTTCTCTTCTCTCTCCACAAATAAATATTTTCTTTTAGATTGAAGATATTTCTTTTTTTAAAAATTTATTTAAAGAGAAAAAAGAAAAAAAAAAAAACCAAAGAAGTAAAAGGGTACAAGTAGCACAGAATTTCAAGAAAAAATATACAGTTAGAAATCACTAGTTAATAGATTACATACTGTCATCTTAGAAACAGTTGTCCAAATTACAAAATTAAAGCATACAATGTAGACATTTATACAGTGAGATTGCAGACAGTTCTGTTCAATGATCCAACAAAAAACTCAGTAATATGGTTTTCTATCCTACACACTTAAATATACATTTAGGCCACTTTCTTTTCCTCTCTTTTTTACAATAACAATTATACTTTTTGGGTTTATTACTCCCATATTTCTTATTTCTTTTTTTTTTTTTGAAGAGAATAAAAAAACCAAATGTGACAAAACAAAACAGAGTCATTTAGAACAGGAGGATGGACATAGTATATGATGCAAAAATAGAATACCAGGTAATCAAAAATGATTACTATTATGCCTCTTACTATTCTGAAAAGAGTTGCCTATATCATCAGGTGTAATAGAATTGAACAAAACAGCACAGAACAAGACCAATAAAACCTACACTGGAGACCTTACAGGACTTCAAAAGAAGATAATAGTCAAACCATAATGGGCATCATAGTAAATCTTATTGCCTAGATTGAAGATATTTCAAAATTTTTAAATACTGGATAAAATGAGTGATAAGAAAGAGAAAACAGGGAAATGTCATGATAGCGTTCTTATCGAAATCACTTTGGAATATCATCACAGTTTGACAAGAGGAACTTGAAAATTTAAACCTTGCTATTCTTATGTTGTGCATTATCCATTTGACTCAATCCAAATGCCTTAGAAACAATTAGAAGACTGGGTCATGCTATCATTTATTTGTTTTTATCCATTCTAGAAGTAAGTGGCAGTGTGACTATAGAGTGAGACTCAAAATGTTTTTAAGCTATCATGTCTTGACACACTATTTTAAGCACATTAAAAATTATCTAATTGAGTCATCAAAAAAGGGGAATATTTCTTTTACTGCTCTAAGTAATGTATACTGGTGATGAAACTAGAAGTTATAGGAGTTAAGTAACCTGATTAAAGTCCTGTTGGAATAATCAGAAAAGCAGAGGCCAAATTTATCATACTGACTGCAAAAACCTATACCTTGAACTACCTCACTGCCCTGCCTTCATTACACAATATCCTCTCTCCTTCTTAACTTGCTAATCATGGTATCTTACATTGTTTTATGTTTCTGGATCATTTATATTTTGTTTTAAGGTTATATACACTTATATATAAAACTTTGGAAAGAAAAAAGTAAGCTGTCTTAAGTGTTGGATTAGCACATATGTATAGTAGAACTGGCACAAATTAAAAATCTCACTGTGTGCCAGTGCATGCCTCCTTTTTTTCCAGAATAATCAAGAAGTATCATGACCGGCATTTTACAGATGAGCAAAACTGAGGCATAAAGGTGTTTTACTGATTTTTGTAACATCACAGAGTTTGTAAGAAGCAGGAATTGCCTAATTTGAAGGACACTTTTAACTCCAGGGTAAAGTTTCCAAGGCCAACCCTAATAATACAAGCTACCTAAATAGGTGACTTGACTTGCGGGTCTTCCAAGTGATAGAGTAGTGTCTTCTTTTCACCTCAAAGTATTATCCTGATGTGTGCTAGTGCACCAGTCTTTGAACCCAGTGTCCTAGTCACTTTCCTCATTGCTGAGACACAATACTCCACACCCACAATTTAAAGGGAAATTTTAGCTCAAGTTTTCAGTCTGCTGGCTTCAAGCAGGACAGCCTGACTGAGTGCATAGCAGAGAAGCTGCTCATGGCATGGACACCCAAAATCACAGTGAGTAAACGGGGAGCTGAGAAGAGAGATGCACACCCAGAGACCATCCTTTTCTGACTAGACATCACTTCCTAACAGCAAATCAGCTATGATGCCCCATAATGCACTTCTTTTGACATCCCTGTCTATGGGTGCTGAGGCTTTTGGGAGACATCTAAATATAAAGCAAACATCCAACAATCTGCTCAAGTGTTGTGATTCATAAGAAAATGTTCTTAGTGAATAAAAATATTCCGTGAAATATACAAATTGTTTGTACTAGTTAACCTCCTCTAATTGATTTTTAGCAAAGTAACAATATTCCAAATAGAACTGGATGAGAATCCGCCTAGGAAAAAGAATAATGTGAAAATATACTGTCTCATGTTATTATCCCTTCCTTCCTTTTTTTTTTCTACCCTGTCTTCCCCTCCCTCTCCTTCCACCCTCCTTCCCACTTATACTTATTCTCTCCTATTTTCTTCCTTTATTTTTTCCATTGTTCTTATGAGATAGAATGATCTTCCCATAACGCAGCTCAGAGGAGTCACACTGAATCTATGGATCACTTTGGGTAATTTTGACATCTTAACAGTATTTAGTCTTCCTACTCATAAGCATAAAATATCTTTTTACTTTACTTTTGGGACCTTCATTAAATTCTTTTCAGCAGTTTTTTCTTTTACTTCTTTTATTTAATTTATTCCTAGGTATTTTATTCTTTTAGATATTATTATCAATGAAACAAGTTTTCTTGATTTCATTTTCAGATAGTTCATTGCAATCACCATAAAACACAACTGACTGCAATTTTACTGAATTCACTTATTAGTTTTAATAATTTTTTGATTGTTTGGAATTTTCTATATGTACAACCATGTCATTTGTGAACACAAATAGTGTTACTCCTTCCTTTTGAATTTGGGTGTCTCATTTTGCCTTTTCTTGTTAAATTGCTCTGAATAAAACTTCCCATGCAATACTGAATAGCAGTGATGAAAATAAGCATCCTTGTCTTGCTCCTGATCTTATCCCAGAAAACTTTCAGCCATTATTATTCAGCATGCCTCTTACAGACAGATTATAGTTGGATCACATTGTTTGCTGTGGGTCTTCATAAATGTCCTTTATCATATTCCCTTCTCTTCCTTATTTTACGAATGTGTTTTTTGTAATCATGAAAGGATGTTCAATTTCTCAAATGCTGCTTTTTCATCAACTGAGATGATCATGTTTTTTCTTCATTCTATTAATGTAGTGTATTACTTTGATTACCTTTTGAATAGTGAATCATCTTTATATTCCTGAAATAAATCTTAACTAGTCATGGTGTTCTGTTTGTTAGGGATTGTTAATATTTTGTTGAAGATTTTTGCATCTATCATCAGATTCTATCATTCATAATCTTTTGCAATTTTTTTCTTTTTGTAAGATTGGTGATTAATTCTGACTGCATTTATTTAAATCTTCTCTCTTTTTTTGCCTAAGTAAACGTTTGTCAGTTCTGTTGATATTTGAAAGAACCAACTTTTGCATTTGTTATTCCTCAATTATTTTTTCTCTATTTTATTCTTCTAACTTCTAATCATTATTATTTACTTCCTCTGTAACATATGGGTTTCATTTGCTCTTCTTTCGTTCCTTAAGTTATGTGACTAGGTTCTTATTTTAAAAG